ACTTTTCTCCCCTTTACCACACCAATCACGGTTTAAATAGACTTAAAGTTAGAACTTCTACGGCACAACCAAGCCTGAACTGTACAATATCTTGTTTTGATTTTGTAAAGAAGAGGGGAAAAAACTCTGCAATCTGGAGCCTTGGATTTTCCGAGCTTTCGTTCTCCAACAAGGGGATAAACAGAACTCCGCTATAAGGAAAAATGTTATTCTGATAACGTGCGCAAAACCCTTAATATTATGGTTTGTCGAACGGACATAGACTCACCATAAGTGACTGTGTACTTTGTACAAACTGATTCTGTCGTCTATGTTGGCCACACTTATTGAGAAGACCATAGCAAAGAGATATGCTGAAAAAAGAGCAAAATTGTTCAAAATTTCGAGATTTAGGATTAGACGTGATTAAGAATGTTTCCGTTAGCGCAGAAATGCTTAAAACGATAAAAAGAAATTGATCTTAGCAAGATTAACCAGCTGAATCGTTCTCTCAAAATTTCCTACGGTACGAACAAGGAGAGTTTGTCTAACAATCAAGAGGTTGTTCGGTTTCTGATCACTCCATTTATTCATGTGACCTTCAGTTTGATTCAAGGGTTATCTTGCAAGGAGAAATAAGATGATAATCACTCTTAGGGGTTAATGTGCCAGAGGTATCAAGAGGTTTCCACTATGTCCAGCCTACTGTCAGATAAAGTACCGCTTCTATGGCTGGAAAACACCCTTAACCTAGACAACAACCCTTTCTGCAGGCACCCGTCAACACTGGTAGGGGTAGAGGAAGAAAAGCAGTGGCCGGTGGGGTGGAGCCCTAACAGTAACGAACCGGCTGCCCGAGAAGGAAAAAAAACAGAGGATCCAGCCATAATGAAGATATCACATCTCCCTTGAACCTGCATGTATTGTGAGCTGACCAGAACTGCCTGCTTAGCTAGTGGCGGTTAATTTTGAAAAACTTTTACTTTCTACGCACCACTTATTGAAAGAAATCGAGATGGTCTCGACAGCAAGTCTCGGAAAAATCCAGACCGTGGATTTGCCATATCGTATCTGTAAGCAAAACAAAGGTAAAAAGTTATACATGAACAAGTTGCACCTTCACATTCATACCGCAACCCCCCCTACCCCCCCCCGCGTCCGAAGACCAGGGATCTCGAGGGAAGACGAGGGAAATCAAATCCCACCACTAGGCAATTGTATCTCCCTAAGTGACCGACAGATTCCTTCCTTTCCCCCCTCCCCTAGAAGGGGGGGGGGTGAGAAGGGAGGAATCTGATGTCCATTCATCAAAGTATACGCATCTTGAAGAAGAATGGAGAATTTAGCCCCCGTACATTGAACTCATTATCTAAACGCTATCATATGATAAACTGAATTGAACACGCATTTTGATTTGTTCTTTCGCATAGAAGTAACGCATATTACGTCTGTTCCGCAATATATCACAGAAGACATTAAAATGTGACCACGTGAGAACAACAAGACATACGGCAACCTGCAATCTATTTGTTGTCCATAACGCACGCCAGATGGATATAAAAATTAGAAATCATGCAAACCTGTCGAAGACAGACACTGTACAGATTGCAAACAGCATGTAGTACAGTGACTGTAAAGGTTGTGCCAGCTTGTAGTAGTTTTCCAGGAAGACCACGTCACCTTGGCTGTTATTACTAAGCGAGTAAACAAAGATGACCTGGCAAAGAGCCAGCCCTTAAACAGAGAGAAACAGAAAACTGGTTAAACCATTTGGAGCACTTTTTGACGGAAAGATGTAACGTCAAAACCGAGGTAATTTAATTTAATTTCATTTCATTTAATAACTTCTAGAGTGCTATTTTCATTCAATGATCAACAGCGCTTAACAACTTAGAATACTACAGTAAATTCAAATTTATAAAACTAATTACATGTACATTAATATTAACAGTGTATGTTAAAAATAAGAATAATATGGAATATCCATAATAAGGATCTTAATTAGGAATAAGGTAATCACTTCAGTCAGTCAAAGCACAGGGTAATAGCGCACGGAGCTGGTTAGAATTCAAGGTTAAAACAGACAAACTACCTGAAGGGTTGGAAAATGCAAGGAACCAAGTGACCAGCACTAGTCTAACCAACCCTTTACACTATTCTCTATACATTTCCTAAGGTGCTGACGCGGAGAGTTTGGTTAACCTTACATTTCCAGGGCTCAACACTAACTTTTCAACTTACTAGCCAAGTGGCTGGTGACATCTTGGATGCTACGACAATTTCAGTTTGTTTATTAGCCAAACTGGCTAGTGGAAATCGAAAACCACCAGCCAAAACTGAATTTCTACTAGGCTGTGGCTAGTTGGCTACCGGCGTTAGTGTTGAGCCCTGATTTCTTTGTTTGGTGGTCATTTCCTTTCTTCTTGTGACCTTGTCAAATAACTTGTGTTAGTATATTAATTAAAAGTCATTTCAGTTTGTGCAACCTGCAAGAAGTCCATGGCAGAAAACAGAAAAAGATCTAAAGGCTCGATGCACTGACTGAAAAAGATAAAGGAAAAGAAAGATATCACTGAATTAGTCATCTCAACAACCAAAACTTCTGAAAAATTTTCTCAAACATTCAGGGTTGTCATTAGAAAATACAATAAATGTATGATCTAAATTGCTAAGGAAGCTGAATTTAATTATCCTTGTGTACCAAGCATGGAGTATTGCTTTGAAAAGTGCCCTTCTAGATGGGTCCCCTACGATGCTTCCCCAGAAATGAAATTTGAAACTCTCTGAGACACAGTTTCTAATAATCTAGAACATAATTGAATAAATTTTTGAAAGCCAAACTTTAATATTCGAATCAAATCAAAAATACTTATATTCTGTCTTTGATCGCAATTCACAAAGTAGCCTGCACAAAGTGGTCTGACAGCCAGTGGGTTTACGCCATCTACCGGCTTCGTATGACAACCCTGAAGATCATAATGCAACAGGACTCCTCTCCGTCCAAAGATAACTAATATTTAAATCTTAAAACCCTCACTCATCTAGTGATGTAAATAATTCCTAACTATTTCAGGGTTACATTCAAATCTTGAGTCTTAAATTTGTAATAACAGGTATTCTTGATGGTAAGATACATTACATTGGCTTTCACCAAAACAAAGACTTTGGTTTGTTAACAAAATCAAACAGAAAGTCCACTCTAACCCTTGGCTATTTAACCCTTTAACTCCCAAGATCTGATTGTCAATCCTCCTTGTAAGTTAGTCATGACACTTTGTTGTTAGTTTAAGATAAAAACTTCTACCTGATACATTTGAGTCTTCTCATTACTTGTTTGCTGGATCATGTATGGATATTATAGGGAGAACTTAAATGTCGATCATTTCTGGAGGTCAAAGGGTTAATTGATGAGCTTCCTAGTAGTTTTTATTTAATTAAGGTGTCTTTTTTTTTTTTTGCCATACACTGGTAATTTTATTGGACAAAATTACTCTGCATATGACAATTACCACCTGCAAAATGTTAAACTCATGCTTCAATGCACCTGGAACTGTAAAGAAGAAAAATTTGGCTGGATTAGGGTTTCTAAGGGTTTCTAAGGGTTTCTATCTTGACCAATATTATGGGAAGGTTGTAGACTTCTATGAACTTAATAAGCAACTAAGCATACCACAGCAAACTCAACCGTTGTCATCTGCATGGAGGAGGGAACCTTTTCTGGTTCTTTATTTCTCTCTTCTTCTAATTGCATAAGTCTAGTTTTTCTCTCCCGTGTAAATCCCTGGCCATCTGGAATGAAACATTAACAGACTTATGTTGTCTATTTCTTAAAGTACAAAACAATCTGTCAACAGCATTCAAATCCATTGAAGTGGTTTATGAGTCCCAATAAAGGTCTATTTGAAGAGTCCACCTCCCCTTATTGGAGGTGTCCACAGAATACACACTTCTTCTGCAGTAATTAATTAAAAGGGAACCAAAATCAGAATTTTAGCTGGTGTTTGCTTCAAACAGTGCATCTGCTTTGTTTGAGATTTGCTTTAGACAAATTTCATGGAATTTCTAAGCTGTAAGTTGATTAAAGAGATCTTAGATGGTTACAAATGGTGTATTTTGAAAAGAGATAGTGCAAGGGTGCAAAAATGGTTAGGTCAAATACACATTCATTTTGAGTCTTCAGGTTGTGAGAAATTAAACATGGCTTCCAAAGGCGCTGGCCAGACCTCTAATTCAGTGATATCCTGCAAGAGATCTTTTAATAAACCAAATAATGATAAAAATAAAGGCTAAACGACTGTATTTTGAAAACAAGAATGTATCTTGATCATCCTAGCATTATTTCCTAAATTTTTAATTTTTTTGTTAATTTTTCTTTCAGTGTATCAACTTACCTCTCCTTTCAATAAAGACAACATCTAGTGGCTGACTTGGCAAGGTCTGGGCCACAGGGGGGAGGACAGGGGGTGATGTTTCTGTGGTGTTGCTAACCACAATGTCTTCTTTGTCCACCTTATAATAGTCAACTGTTGAAGCTGAAATGAACAATGAGAACACAAAAATAAACAAAAATTGGATACAAATAAACAGACAACAACTTTTTCAAAGCCTGTACGACAACATTTTACCAGGATAGGTGTTTATAAACGTAAATGATTCCAACTCCAAAACAATTTTAGACCACTATATCCTTTTAAAACATCATGTCATGTGTCTTCAAATCTAGGCTGAAATTTTCAAAGGTAGGAAACAGCCAAATTGTCAGTAACTGGTTCTGGCTACCTGTAGATAGAATTTCTGAGAGCTGGGGTTTTTTGAAGTGATCAGAAACAGATCTTTTCACTTCTTATTGTGTTAAATCATACAACCTACTTTGAAAAAATTTCAATTTTTGGAAAACAGCTTGCAACTGCACACTTTCTGATTCTTTGTAATGTTTGCTCCTTCAAAGAATTATATATTGTTGTAGGTATAGCAGCATGAAAGGGTGACCTGATCTTAAGTTTGGACCTCACACCAATTTGGCTTTAAAATGTTAACATCTAAGGAAACGTTATTACATATTACATCGTTACATTTATATAGCGCAGACTTCTATGTGGATATATTCAGTCGCACTTAACAATATAGTAAGGTTGAGATTGGACGTCAGCATTTTTATCGGTGCCTCTGGCAGTCGCTTCAGTCCATGTAGCAATCTCACCTTCCCACCCATCCACCCCGGGGAGGACATCCACTACACAGTAATCTCATGCATGGGAAATTTACGTCTCCTACCCCTAACCCTGCAGGAGACGGGACCTACAGCTTTACGTCTTATCCGAGAAGACAGAGCAATGTGAGTGAAGCGTCTTGCTTAAGGACACAACGTCATGCCCCAGCCAGGACTTGAACCCGGGCCAACTGACCCAGAGTCCAGCGCACTGACCACTGGACCTCTCACACCTCACAAAGGCCATTTTGATGATGAACGTATAATAAAGATGATGAACGTATAATAAAGAGTGTTGCACACAGCTCATGTTGACACACCCCACTTGTGGTTGCTTATTCCATGATAAATGTTTTGTATTCGTTTGAGGGGGTAGGGAATTCAGGTGCATAGCGTGGTCATTTTTTCAAGTACGCACAAGTATATATGATCTAGAAACCTAAGTAAACTGAGCAAAAAATACTGCGTTCTTTATTTTATTGTACGAAATAGTTGTGTGAATACAAGCAAAGAACAAAGCATCTCGCACTTATTTTAAGCAAACTTGGAGCACACACAACATTGTTTTCAAAATTTTCTGGTCACTTCAAGTACAACTACTGGACTACTCACATATTTACAAAAAAAAAATCAATCCTATAGTTACTGTTTACTTAGTAGTGGCTATATACTAAATCAATCATGCTGTTAATGGCTACATATACCTTCTTCATCATTATCAGCATTATAGTTGTCTTCTTCTGCTGATGTTCCAGTCTGCTGTCTGAGAATCAATGAAACGACAAATGCTGTAATGAATCTCCATTTCAGAAAAAATATACTGTATTTATCCGCAAATGGACTGCAGCTTTTCTTTTCACAAAAATGGGATCAAAGTTAGGGGTGAAGCTTATATGCAGGAATGAGCCATTTGACATCTCATTATACACATTAGCTCAAAATTTTACAACTTTTTCCCTATTTTGAACTTCTTCCCTATTAACAAACATCAGTTTTGCATTGAGTCAGTAAACCTACAGAAAATACAGAACAAAATAATTTGTTGACTCATTCAAAGAATCTTGTTCCTCTGCAGAAATGAGCACATCAAGTTCTTTTTTTAAAGTTTCTTGTTTTGGGAAGTCCAGTACATAGCCATTCCTACTCATGGCACAAAGGGTGCTTTCTATTCCCACTCACTTTGCTGGAAATTTCACCACCACCCTCAATACAATACCTAGGCCACAATTTTGAAAAATGTCATTGATAAGTAACATTTTCACACCAGTAGAGGGCCAGCCAAATAAAAGGAAAGATCAGTATGTACCTTTGAGATTTCTTTGTTTTATTTTTCTTTGATCTTGTCCTCTTCGAGTCTCCAGGGCCATCATATCCATCATAGTCATGAGCATATTCTTCGCCATTGATGACATCTCGGGAACCTGAAAAAAAACCCACAAGTTATTACACAAACTTTAAGTACACTTTTTGTATACAAAATGAAAACATTGTTTTAAAACCAGTTTTTGGATTTTCCATACTCAAGGTTTGGAGTCAAATAACCAAACTGAGGTTGTTAAAGCTTTGCATCAAAATTGAAATTACATGATCATGGTAAAAAAAATAATAATTTGGCCTAGCCGAGGTACTTGTAATTTATCAAAAAATTTGGATACCTTGTTTATGCTCTGAAAATAACTCCAGACTTCTTCCCAATTTTAAGATGTTTTAGACTTTATTTTTCACACTTTTCCAGGTTTTGACCACACAATAGACTACGTTTTTAAGTACCCATTCTCCTGAAAGATGTTCCTTTCTTCCTGTGAAGTCAAGGCAGGAAATTTGGGCTGTCCAAACATCTGGGAAAGGTAACTTTACCATTCAGATAGGAAAGAATATGACCTTGCTTGTCTGTTTAGTTATAGTACAAAAAAGGGAATACATCTTTTTTTTTTACCTGATTTTGGACATAAAATCAATCATATTTCCATAACTGATAACTTTGCTGCCCGCAAAATAAAAAACTGCCCACAAAAATAAAAAATAAGTATTATTTTGTGTTAGTGTGAACCTTACGTTTGTTTCATTTTGTTATACAAAGTGCAGCTATTAATTTCCAGGCAAGTCTAGCTTCTTACCCTGTAGTGGTCATTATCAGATTTTTTTCAGACAAGTTAAATAGAAAAAGTTCCTTGCCGTGAAGTTGCAGCGATTCTCCATGAGCTTGGTATGGCTAGCCAAACGTATTAGTTTCAGAGTAGAAGTCAGAGTACCATAAATTTTGCTTAAAAACTTAAAAAAACAACAACAACAAAAAATAAATTTACCATGTGTTCTTTTCCTTCTTGGCCTTCTCCTTGCAGGACTTAAGTTTTCAGTATCTCCCATCATATCCTCCTCTTCTCTGTTGATGACCTCAGCACTGGCTGACCTGGCATGACGAGTTACACCTGATGCAGGGCGTTTATATCTTTTCTTTTCTGGTATATCTAGTGTGTTAGACTCCATTCCATCATACACTTCTCCTAAATAAAAGTAAATTAATTGAAGAATTATTCATCCAAGACAAAGTGACACTATTGTTGCATAATACTCGAGACAAGAAACTGAATTGGTAGAATTGCTCAGGCGCTTTTGAATTTTCTTGTAAATTCGTTTTGATGTTGAAACCAATCTCTTACCATTGTACTGATTACTTTTATCAAGAAAAGTGGCTAATTTCCACTGGAAATTTCAAAACAGCTTCATTTTAATCAATCCGCAAAAACTTCAGATCTTTCTTTGAAAAGTGTTGAGCCAAACTCAGTACTATTTTTTTGGATTTTTGCCAATTAATTTTCTTTTATTGCATTTCTATGTCCTCAATAATGTAAGACACACATTTCATTTTCTCCCACCTCACTTTCTTAAATAGAAGGGATATAAAAAAAACTAGTTTCCATTAAATCTTTTTAGGCTCCAACTACAGCAGAATCAGTACAGGAGAATAGTTCTCATAATTTCAAGGAAATACAGTATCAAAATTGTCTGAAGGACGGGCAAATGGTTTCATGCCCCAAACTTTCTATCGGATATAAAACTTAGGATGCAATTAAAAGAAACAAACAAACAAATCAATCAGGTTTGACCTATGGGTGAAAGGTAAACTCAGCTGAGGCTTCAACTGGTCTTGAACTTATTTCTCCCACAAAAGAGCTGAGTGCTGCAATCAACTGATTGACAGAGGCAAATAATACGGGGGTCAGGAAAGTCTTCGTGGGTTTACTATCTGAAACTAGTCTATAACCTCTGATCTTGCTGCTACATGACGTATGGCAAGCTTGGAGCTTGCTTAGCTTCTTTCAACCTTCCCATCACTAAGAGAAATTCCAAAATCAAGACTTCAATTTGTTACCATTTTCCATTCTGGATCTTCTTCTCTGTCTTCTCGCTCTGTTTTTTCTTTCCGAAGTTGGTTGGGGAATCCCGGAGCTTCCCTCTTGATCACCAGAATTATTTGACGCGCTGTGAGGCACTCCACCTTTGTCTCCGTCTACGACCTCTTGAAGAGGAATTCTCTCCGGTAAGGAGCTCGGTGATTCTAAGCTTTCATTTGTGTAATCGTCAATCTCTCTTGACATTCGCTTTTTGCGACGTCTTTGTCGCGAATTGGTGTCTTTATTTGCTGCATCCATTACAACTTCATCCATGTTGTAAAGCACTGTTTGTGTGTTTTGAGCTTAAATTGTCTTTGACAGCACAGACTTTTAAAAACGAACTTCACCGTTCGTTTATGGGAAAATACATCACCATTAATGACTCACAAGTTTCAAATGTCTAGAATGCGCGTCAAGCTCATCATTTTGTCAAACAGCTGAATGAAATATCATGGAGACCTGGGTTGGAGTCATCCAAGAGCATACTCAAACGGGCAAAAAAATCCTCTGACAAGTTGTAAGTGAAGGTTCAGCGCATGTGTTTACTTCTAAAACCGCTTCGAGGAGCACTAATTGCCACGTGGAGGAATGTTAAAAATTTCATTTGTGTAGAATATTTAGAGGCTTCCTTTGCAGCCCACAAACATCTCCGAGCAACTATGAAGACTGTACTTATGGTAGCAGAGAAGCCTTCCCTGGCTCAGTCAATCGCCAAATTTCTCTCCAAGGGACAGATGAAAACGCGAAAGGGACTCAATGGAGCTTGTTCAGTACACGAGTACGAAGGACAGTTCAACAAAGAGCCGGTTAAATTTAAAATGACCTCTGTGTGTGGGCACGTAATGACCTTGGATTTCCATCACAAGTTCAATAATTGGGATACTGTCAATCCTCAGGAGCTGTTTACGGCTACAACACTGAAGAAAGAGGCCAACGAAAAACTGCAAATGCCCAGATTCTTGCAGCAAGAGGGAAAAGGCGTCGATTACATTGTCCTGTGGTTGGATTGTGACAAGGAGGGGGAGAACATCTGTTTTGAGGTGCTGGATTGCGTAAGGCCTGTTATGAGTAGGAGATCAGGCAATAAGAATGTATTCCGTGCGAAGTTTTCTGCCATAACAGAGACTGACATTTGCAGTGCCATGCATCGTTTGAGCGAGCCTAACATGAATGAGGCTAGGTCAGTTGATGCCAGGCAGGAGCTGGACCTAAGGATTGGTTGTGCATTTACACGATTTCAGACAAAGTATTTCCAGGGGAAATATGGTGACTTGGACAGTGGACTGATTTCTTATGGCCCCTGTCAGACACCTACTCTGGGATTTTGTGTGGAGCGTCATGACCAGATACAGTCATTCAAACCTGAACCTTACTGGGTACTTAAAACCCATGTACTCCACCCAAGTGGACAGACTCTGCAGCTTGACTGGGATAGAGTTAGACTGTTTGACAAAGAGGTGGCCGTCATGTTTCAAAAAGCTGTCAAGTCATCAAGGTCAGCAACTGTGGTTGGTGTTTCCAAAAAGGAAAAATCCAAACAAAGACCCATTGCATTAAACACTATTGAAATGTTACGTATGGCTTCTTCAGGGCTTAACATGGGTCCCCAGCACTGCATGCAGATAGCAGAGAGACTTTACACACAGGGCTACATCAGCTATCCTCGTACAGAAACAACTCACTATCCAGAAAATTTTGATCTGAGGGGAACTCTGCGACAGCAGCAGACAAACTCCAGCTGGGGTTCATCTGTACGAGAACTTCTAGAGCAGGGTATTAACAAGCCAAGAAAGGGACATGATGCTGGTGACCATCCACCCATAACACCAATGAAGCCTGCAAGTGAAGCTGAGCTGGGGGGTGATGCATGGAGATTGTACGAGTTGATCACAAGATCTTTTATAGCCAGTGTCAGCTATGACTGTAAATATTTACAAACAACAGTAAAGTTTTCAATTGAGCAGGAGGCCTTTTCATTCACTGGTAAGGCTGTGACCAACCCAGGCTTCACGTCTGTGATGGACTGGCAGGCGATTTCCAGTGATGAAAGGATGCCTCATTGTCAGCAGAATGAGTCGTATGAAATTGCTGAAGTGAAACTTGAAGAAAGACAAACTTCACCCCCTGATTACCTGACAGAGAGTGAGCTCATTTCACTGATGGAGAAGCATGGCATTGGAACAGATGCTAGTATTTCTGTTCACATAAATAACATCTGTGAACGAAACTATGTCCAGGTACTCAGTGGCCGAAAGCTTCAACCAACTCCTCTTGGAATCGTGTTGGTACATGGCTACCAAAAAATTGACCCTCAGCTTGTTCAACCAACCATGCGATCAGCTGTGGAGCAGCAACTAAACCTAATTGCTGTTGGGAAGGCAGAATTTGATTCTGTTTTGCAACATGCCATTGGAATCTTTACAAGCAAATTTGTTTACTTTGTGCAAACCATCACAAGCATGGATGAGCTTTTTGAAGTGTCCTTTACTCCTCTCAAAGACACTGGTAAGGCTTTATCAAGGTGTGGCAAATGTAATAGGTATATGAAGTACATCAGTGCTAAACCAACGCGCCTGCATTGTGCCAACTGTGACGAGACATACAGTCTTCCACAGAATGGAAGTATCAAACTCTATAAGGAACTGAAGTGCCCCTTGGATGACTTTGAGTTGGTGTTGTGGTCTACTGGAGGAAGGGGTAAGAGTACCCTAGTTTGCCCCTACTGCTACAACCATCCTCCCTTTTCGGAAATGCGGAAGGGTATGGGCTGTAATCAGTGTACACATCCCACATGTGCCCACTCTGAGGTGAGTCTTGGCATAGCTGATTGCACTGAGTGCGATGATGGAAGCCTTGTGCTTGATCCAACCTCGGCTCCCAAGTGGAAACTTGCTTGTAACAGATGTAATCTTGTGGTACATGTATTTGAAGATGCATTCCGAGTGAGTGCCACCGATCAAGAATGTGAATGTGGAACAACTCTTCTGAACATTAATTTCAACCGTACCAAGTCACCATTACCAGAGAATACGACCCAACATGTAGGATGTCTCTTCTGTGATCCACTGCTTTCACCTTTGGTCAAAATGTCCCATGCAGCATCAAAGCATCCCATGTACAGAGGAGGGCGAGGCAGAGGAGGAAGGCGTGGCAGGGGTGGGAGGAGAGGGAAGGGCAGAGGTCGACCCAAGGATAAAATGTCACAGCTTGCTTCCTACTTCGTGTGACATCTCAATAAGTGTAATAAGTATTTTGTTGGTGAATGTCCAACCATATTTAATTTCAGGACAGAAATTTAAGTTATAGTCTTGTAAGCATTTGTTTAATTGGTAAAACTTTTAATTTTCATTCTGATTAATTAATATTAAAAGAAATATACAACTTTTTTTAGAGACATGTTTCGGCATGCTTATGCCATTTTCAATCAATGAGTAACTAAACGTGAGTAATTACATAACAGACAAGTAGATGAATAAAATATTTACAGTATGATGTAATACAAAAGCGGGTACTAATTACAGCGTGACAACAAACATGAAATTAAAGGTGTGAACTAAAATGCTAAAAAAGTGTTATAATGCTGTAATTTTTTGTTAAGTTCAGGTTTAATCTTATTTATATAAAAAGCTTCTTTGAGTTTTAAATCTATTGAGTTGTTGGCAGAATCCAGAATACTAAAGCAATGTCTCTAAAAAAAGTTGTATATTTCTTACAATATTTATCCTACTTGCTACTACTACGACCTTATGGAAATTAATATTAACCCGTAAACTCTAAGATATGATTAATAGTTTGCTCTTTTAGCTGCTGTATATTTCCTTGTAAATTAGAGAAGAGAATTTGGTGTTGCATCAAGGTAAAACCCCACTAACTGTTAGGTTTGTTCATTCTCTTTTCCTGTCTCTTGGATGATATTTAAATTGAGAAGGAGCTTCATATTTATCACATCTGGAAGTTAAAGCCTTCATTTAAACATTTTTGGGTCTTCATTCTTTTACTCTCAGGCATGATTAAGAAGGAGTTTGATCAAGTTGTCTGATTGCCTAATAACATCACAGCAAAACTGACTGAATCATTGATAATGATGATGGCAGTAAAGGAAATGATCACCAACTTGACAAGCTTTGATTGTAAAACAAATTCTCCTTGTCAGTACCAAAGGAAATGAACAGAAAAGAGTATGGAGAACATGCACACTGATGTTAGGGTTCAAAAGTTAATGCAGATGATCAGACCAGATGGTAAATATTACTCCCACACTATTTACAGGAATAACAACAGCTACAAAAGTAACAACAGCAATATCAATAATGGTTTATTTCACATTTCCACACTCTATTACAATAGATTAATGTTATATCATACTAAATGAGATTCTCACATATATTGATAGAAAAAAAAAATCTAGATATAGAACTATGTAAGTAAACCTTACAGTTTTTTAGTTAGACTCTAGTCTTACCAAATTATTTGTAAAGGAATTTCTTGATTCAATTTCAATATGCTTTGTCCCAATATCTATTTATTTTTAACTTTGTGCCAGAAAGATCAAGTTATGAAAATGAAACAGTTTGTTATATGACAAACAGACACAGGTTACCTAAGAAGTAACTTCAACTGAAAATTTAGTTGCTGAAATTCTTCTACTCACCATGACAAAAAAACATGGATGGAACATGGAGTGCCCTTATACCTTAATTGCAAGTTACATGGATTAAGAGTCACTTTTATTAATTTTATCCAGTATATGAGGGGAAATAAAAAATGTAAAGTTCCTCTAATTATTTAACCAGAAATAATTTACAAGATATAGGATATTGTGATTGTTATACTGGTTAGCTTGACATATGAGCTCCACCAAGGCAGTTCACTGTATATTGTGCTCGTCTTTTTAGGAAGAATTGTATTAGCACAGATTTACTTCTTTTTTTTTTTTTTTTTCCATTGTAATGCCAGCTACAAGCCAAATCTCTTATCTCTTAACCCTTCAGCTCCCTGGAGCGACCAAGAGAGAATTTCTCCTTTACATATCAATACAATGTCAAACAAACAAGTTATGAGAAAATGAGAAATATCAATTGAGGGAGTACTAGTCAATCCAATACCAAATTGACTGAACAGACATGGTAAGACAGTAAGCAGAACCACTAAAAAGATCAGGGCACTGAAAGGGTTAATGGGTAATTCACAGTAACTCCTCCAGTCAGCAACTCTTTTTTAAACTAGCATTTAATAGCAATAATTTTTACCAGAAGATTTGATTTGTAAATGAATAATGTCAGTACGCAGTTGAGATTTAAGCAATTTTACTTAACTTGTTCAACTAATAAGTTTTCAAACAAAAAAGAAGTGAAAGTAAACAGATGCATTTGAACCTTCAAATCCTAATGTCTGGGTATTATTTTTCCCCACTAGTTGAAACCTATTACCCTTTAAATTGATTAGGAGAATTTGGTAAAAGATTAAGATACCTTCTACCTAATAAGTTCAAGTATTCTTATTACCCATTGGCTGAATATTGTATGGGAAAGTTACATGTTAATCACTTGTGGCAGTTGGAGATTTTCTTTCCACACTTAAGTTTCCAATTACATGACAAAAAAAATTTACTTATCCTGATCTAGCCTGCATTGCAGACAGTTTAAACCACCAGTATATTATCTTTGTGATCGATCGCAAAGATATTTTCAAACTTTAAATCTCGGTGAGTACATCAAATTGTTTCCATCCCTTTGAAAGTAACACTTTCGTTTCCCTATTCGATGACGTGACTGCATAAATTACAATAAACGGACGAGTCAGACAACCTTTTTGACCTTTCGAAATGCAAAGCAAAGCTTTGTACAAAAGTACTTCCAATATACAATTTACACATGGCAATATTTATTTTTAGCATTGCGTGATAAGTTTTGCAAGAATATGACCAATCATAAGGCGCACGAGAAAATAACCAATCAGAAATTAATACACAGATCCGTGTATCCCTGCGGGATATCAGAACAAGTTTTTGGGAGCCGTTTCGCAGACGGACTATACCAGGAATTGTGTGACACGTCCGGCTGCAACGCAGGCTAATCCTGATCTGGCTAACAAATGGTTCATGTTTTGCTGTGCTGAAAAATTACAACATCACTAGGGCATCATGATGTAAAAGACATTGTGAGTTAAATGGTAGTATAATTGAATAACCTGTGTATCTTTACTTGTTACACTTCCTAAACAGGAAAATTTTTGGTTGATGTTTGCACAATGTTGTCTGAATTTTTTTGATGTTAGTATGTAATTAATCTCCTTCAGCTGTTGTTTGGTGTATTTACTTGACACATAGTCTTTCAATGAACAATGATTTAACCTTGTGTGTAGGGTGGCCCTTGATCTTTCCTGCCTACTCTACAATTGCAGGGTAGAGAGCATTGTGCAGTAATTGCAGAGACCAAAAGCAACAGGAACAGGCTGAGACTAAGATATTGGCATCTCCTTGATGCAAAGAGGAAACTGTTTTTTTCCTTAATAATCTACATTTTGATCAAAGGTTATCAATTTGAGGCAAACCTAATGGTTTCTAGTCTGTCACTGGACTGTAACAAGATTGTGAATACACAGTAATCTATGGATGCCAATTTGTACCATAATTTCCAAGTCTGTTTGAACTTCTCAATGGTTTTAAGACTTAAAACCCTTGGAGTGACGAGCATCCAAATTCTCCTCACAGTTATATTGCTGAATTATTCATTTAGATAATGAAAATAAAGGCCACCAATCTAAGAAGCTTTGGTTGTTAAATGAATTCAATACCAAAGGAAATGTATAGAGAGGGGTATCAAGAATTGGTGTTAAATGATTGAAGTGTAAAGGTTTGACTGAAAGGAGTAATGATTTACTGTGCTTCTTCAAAAAATACCTTTTTTAAATGGCATGGAGAATATTACATTAATTCATATATACTGAAAAAGAGGGAAAAAAAACCACAGGATTATTTGTTTTCCTACACAGGTTTTTAATCTCCCAGATGCAAGTGAATTTAGAGAAGAAAGTGAACCAAGGAGGGTGAACCGTGATACATTTCTAATCTGAATACATTTGTGATTTCTTTTTCTTTTTTGACTCTAGATTTGAAATTTCTGTAAGCAAATTCTAGTGTAAAAAGTCTGAGTTGAAGCCTTTGAGTAGCATATTCATGGTAAAGGGGGTAGAGCAATCCTCCATAAATTGCTGATTTTCCGGGGTTCTAAGGAGATAGGCATCACCAAGAGCAAGAGTATTCTGATAGGATTGATCTAATTCCTAACATTTTCTCGATCAGGAAAATGCTTGCAGAAATGTATGTTCAAATCCGAAATGATGTTCCGTCACTCGTTCACTTGTAAGATAGTCTGGAATCGGGCTGGGATGACTGTGGCTCCTGAAAGCGTGGCTACCAGGCCTAAAAAGACGCGCTTGTTCTCGAGGGCAACACGCAAGCGAGCAGAATGTAATGCATTTTTTCCGAAGATTATCTTCTTTCCCATAGCAATCACAATGACCAGTGAGTTGGCACAATCTAGTGACGTAGACACGAAGCCAAGTTTACTCGACTCTGAACGCAATCTTCAGACAAAACCTTCAAATGATCTACAAGCCCAGGTGTGTTCTAGTTTACAAGCTGATGTCAAATTCGAATTTCAATAACGATAACAAAACTTAGCTCCGGCAGGTTGTATTTGTTTACCTCGGACGGTCTTTTTCGTAATTTTATCGAGGATCGTGCAATTACGCCTTAAACATTCTATATAAATGTTGTTTTCAATTCCTGTTGCCAAAAAAGCTTTTAAGAAAGTTCACGGAAAAAAGTAATGCACCAAGCTTTTTTACTACCAACACGGTCCTAGTTGTATTACAGAAATTGGGTTTTAGCTAACATACCGTTAGTAACTTTTATGCTATAATTTGTAAAATTTTACGTATCCTCAACACAAATGCTATCAACGATGAGTGATGGGGGCAAATTTGTGCATAACTGTCTTGTAAAGTCTCCGTACAACATATCTAGTGTCAAAAGTATGTAGCATGATTGTGGAAATTTTGCAAGTTTTTGCAATTACTCTCACCCCAGCATCTTTTTATCGACCATATTAAGCCAAATTAATGGACTGAATCAAGCTTTATTGAACTAAATTCAAGGAATAATGTTAATTGTGTTTGATTGGCTCCAATTATATTTCAGTCTAATTCTGTGCAATTGGTGTGACTTGACTATTTTAAGCTTAAAACTTTTTTTCTTCCAAGATCTTACTAGTACTTCTCCTCACTGTTGGCCTTATATTTCTTCTAATATCAACTCTGAGAAATTAGTTGTGGATCAATGAATAATCGCCTAATCGATATTTTTCTTCATTCTTATCACGTGTCTGCTGGATATTGGATTGATATTGCAAGAAGAAATTATCTCTTGGTCACCAACAAGAGTTTATGGGTGAATGCTAAATCCTACAAATGGTCAGATTGCCCATTTTTAGTAAATTAAGTCAGATAAAAAGTTGCAAATAAGTAGCTCGAAAGTTTCAGTTCAGATGTTCTTTCCACACTTCCTGCAATTCTGTGATCTAAACTGGAAAGAGCTAAAGCAACACAGAACTTGATTGTTTTATAAAATTTGAGCACCTACCAACTTTTGATCAAAAGTGGTGGCATCTTGTACATGAAAGAGGAGAATTTTTCGTACCTTACTCGCACTTTGAAGTACTTGTTTAGTAATTGTTTGAGTGAATAAGCTGAATTTGATTTTCACCCATAAATATACGTAGTCTTGCAAACAGTGTTGCAAGACCTAGACCTAGTTATATAAGGGACGGACAACACTATCCAACAAATAAAGTGCTATCCAGCAGATAAGCAATAGCAAAATATATTGTACTATCCGCGGCGTAGAGATTTATTGAGTGGATAGGGTTCTCCACCCTTTGAACAACCTGACCTGGACATCAATCTTAAACAAGGTCAGAATGCATTATCTTAGCAAGACAGGACCCAAATGAGGTGCAGTCCAGGACCATATTAATTAACCCTGTCAGGGCTTGACATGAATAGTAGCCAACTAGCCACAGACTTAATAGAAATTCAGTTTTGGCTAGAGGTTTTCAATTTCCACTAGCCAGTTTTGCTGGTAAACAAACTGAAATTTTTTGTTACTTCTAAGTTGTTACAAGCCACTTGGCGAGTAAGTTGAAAAGTTAGTGTTAGCCCTGCCTGTAATCCCCAAGAGGGACTAGCATTTAATTTGTGGAGGCGGCATGGCCAAGTGGTTAGGGTGCTGGACTTGTAATCTGGTGGCCCGGGTTCAAGTCCTCCACCCTGCCACTCACTGGATTTGTTCTCGGTTGCCCCTAGTTCAACTCCTTGGCTGCACTCTGTAAATAGCCCACTGGTTACCTCCTGCCGATGGGGATTGTTGAGCAATTAGTTAAAACTTTTTCTTAATACAACCCACAATGTAAAACTACTGGGTTACCAGTAATTGTGTTAGCTATAAAAGTTTATTTATTTATTTATTTATTTATTTATTAAATTTCTCCCTACAATTTCACCCCCAAATCACACATTGAGTTCATTCGAAAAAAGAAATGATCATATACTAAGGAAGTTCTTGATTATGAAATGAATTCTCCTTGTCAGCTCCTTAGAAAAATGTCTAGAGAACAGTATGGAGAATATGCATACTGGTCATAGCAAATAAAGGGTTAAGAAACCTTCAGATGTCATGCAAACATCTTGATCGTATCAAGCAACTGCAGTTTCAGTAGTTGTCTGAATATCCTCAGTAATGTTTGAAAGTTGCCAAAATTTTTTTAAAAATTAGGATAAAATCATTATGTTCATACATCGTACAAGAATCACATGTATTGGATGTTGGGAAAGGTGGCTAGTTTGTGAAGTAGACAAAAGTTAACCATCTGAGTACAGTGCAGTGGAAAATGCATCAAAGCCACAATGGTTTTACACCATCCTGGTACACGTAGTTACATAATTTACTTCATTTTGATCTACTGTAGTTCTATTATCTTAATTCTTGACCACTACAAATCAACTTAGTTAAAACCATCTTTACCTGGATTCCATTTTGATGTACAACATATAGTTATTTAATGGAAAAAAGGTTAAATTGGGAAAAGTATAATATCTTTAAATAATTAAGATCTTTGTAAATTATATGAATCATATAATTTATCCATGTCCTGTACATTATAACCAGGAACCAATCAATTATGTGCAAGACTTAATATTCAACATGTGGCCTGTTTGTGAATGCATGTACAAGCTTTAATTTATTACTAAACATTTGCATCCAGCAGTTTTAACACTATCCCAGAATGACTGGACTTTTTTGGCTTAATTAGCTCATGATAAATGCAATATTTAGTGCGTACCAGAAACACTTTTGAAGAAATAGCAGAACATAACGCAGGGATTCTGACAAGAGAAATAGTAAACCTGAAAGCCACAATTTTGTTTCAGAATTTATAAAGAAAATATGTTCATTGTAGACTTTCTTTTGTTAATACATTAAAATTATTTCTAGCAGTGCTATCAATGGAATGTTGATCTTTAATATTTAATGTATTACTTCACATTATGACTGAAATAGGGAAAAGGTTTGAAATATCCAGACGAAAAGTCAGCACAGAGAGGGCCCGGAGAGGAAGAATCTTCACTGCCTTTTACCATGAATATTGAATTAAATTTTGTGTGGCTAATCCTGGTGGGTTTGTCGTTTGGAACAAGAATGTGGCAGCTTACCACACCTAAACATGTAATGTACGTAATTCAATAGAAAGGTTGAGTATGAAACATTTTGAAATTCATTTTAAATCATCGGTAGTTAATCACCGCAATGAAACCTCTTGACAAATTCTATTGACTCTTGCTCTTGTCAGCTGTACACAGTTTTCATAACTTGTGCTTTGATAATGAAGCTACCTTGTATTGTTGCACAGTTAAAGACTGGCAAATATACAATCCTATAAGTAAAGATTTCATTTTCGTGCATGAAATAGGTTGACTATAAATATTTACAAAAAGGTTTGATTTATTCTGTTCAGTGCTTTGGTCTGACCTTTTCTATGTTATAACCAGTCAGAGTCACTGTAGGTAGTGACCAGCACAATTGCCATGTTAATGCCTTCAGGCATCTTTTGCAATATATATATATATATCTTATTAACCAAGCGCGAGGGCCGTACTGAGAGAATATCGGCCCGAGGTCTTGACAGTACTGACCGAACGCAGCAAGGTCTGTACAAAAAACACCGAGGGCTGATATTCTTCCAGTACGGTCCCGAGCAAGCTTGGTTAATAAGAGATTTATAATACGACTGAAGTTCAAAGGGACACAAGTGCCATATCATTCAGGACCATTCGGGACAGTGCCCGGTCCAATATTGAGAGAATATTGACTGGCAATAGAGTATTTTGATTGGTTGATTGTAGTTATTGGCCCCCTGACTGCCCGAGTCATGTAATAAGGTCTCTAAATTATAGTGGATTGCTTAAAAAAAAAAACCAGAATTTACTGGTAAATCACTTCTGGGGGTTAAAAGGTTTCTTCTCAACCTTTTCCAGTAACTATTGGTTATATGTGTTGGTTGGTTTATTTTGTGCTTTGAATTCTTGATTGCAGATTTGATGAGGTACATTTTGGCCAGTTCACAAATTTCTTCATGAAGAACCAGTTCTTCTTTGATATGCATCCACCTTTGGGGAAACTCATGTTTGCTTTCACAGGTATAGTATCCATAGATAAGTTTCCTCAGAGCGCTGTCCAAGGGCCAATGCTCTAAACATCGACAGTGGCCGACTTGCACTTACAGCTGTAGCAACTCATCTTTGAAGTTATTTGTATTGCAAGCATACCTCATTAAATACTACATACTTCACATTGTACTGTGTAATTTTCAGTTGGCTAATTTTCCTACATGCAGCTGATAAATACACTTTTTGATTAATTTCAATTTTTTCATTTCAGCTTACTTATCAGGATATGATGGTGAATTCTCATTTGCAGACATAGGCCAAGGTACAAAAAGTCAAATAAGCTCCTAAAATTTGCATGTTGTGACACAATTTTTGCAAATAGTTCCCAGCAGGGAAGAATTCAGTGCTTAATTGTATATCCTTGCTGCAAGTATCAGTGCTTCAGAGGTGACGAGGACATTATCTTATTTCTCACGACTAATGTGGGTTCACATTTTTTTCCTCAGATCTTGGTGAATTTGAGTATGTTGTTTGGTGGTTACGCTTTGTATCTGCATTTCTTGGAAGTCTTGTAGTGCCAGTTGTCTATGAGGTGCGTTAAAATTTCTGATTCAGTTTTTTCGGTATTTATTAATTCAACAGAAATAAGTAAAAACCTTAACCCCCAAGAAAACCGCACATTCAAATAGGTGTGAAAAAATTTGAGTTGCATTTTGAAGGTCTAGTTGGATGGGCACTGATGTATAAAGGAAGTTATGGATGTTTTAGACTGAAGTTTATTTCATGGAAATATTCACAGAAGAAAAGTTTCCAAAATTAAGAGACTTTTTGAAGTTGTTTGTTGTACTATATTATCCTAGCCAGAGTTGTCTAATCAAGTGTAGCAGTGTCAAGTGTCTATAATTCCTTGTCATGGGTGGGGGGTGGGGGAAACAGCAGGAGCATGAACTGAGTCATCACTGGAGCACTCTTTCAATCCCTGAACCTGGTATTTTTTGTGAGTGGAAATTGTTGTTGGTTTTTGTGATTACCATGAGGCTTTTACATTAGTCTTCAGTTTTCCTCTGGCTATAAAGCTTAACTCTTGAAATTCCAATTTAACATGGAAACAGTGGACATCGAGCCACCTTATGGTGGTGCTACTGTTAATGTGGTATTGTAAAATCTAAACATAATATAAAGTATTTTTTTATTATTATTCTTCAGGTCATCACAGAGCTTGGTTTTTCACACTGGGCAGCTGCTTTAGGTGGATTTTTGGCAACATTTGGTGAGATTTTGTTTTGATTCAAGTTATTGTTCTTTTGGTGAAGAGTGCATTTATAGGACTGGTACAAATAAATATTGTTGAGAACGATTGGGTTAGGTACAACGTAACAATACCCCAAGTTTGAACAAACCTTCGCTACTTTAGGTGAATTTTTGATAAACAATCAACTAGCCCACTACATAATCAGTGTTCCCAAAATTCTTGATTTTCCTTGTTAGAAAATTGAGATCACCTTTCCAATGAAAATTTTTGGCTTGCATTATTTTTTTCCCTAGTTCAGTCTGATACCTCAGTCTGTTAAATTCCTTGCTTCCCTTAGGATTTATCTAAACCTTGAGCAGTGAAATTAAGCATGATGCCCAAATCCTCCTATTGACAAATCCTTACTGTAATTTTTCTGAACAGATGTTCTTTTTTGTTGCAGACAACATGTGTGTGGTACAAAGCAGACTTATCATGTTAGATTCCCCTCTCCTGTTTTTCAGTGCTGCATCCCTTCTCTGCTATCTAAAGTTCCACAAAGAATTTAGTAGGTAAGAAGTAAGCAAGTTTCATGTGTCCTTTAATATTACTTATAATCTATCAAACATTTAATTCAGTATGGGAGAGCTACTAGCTATTGTTACGAACACGGGACATGTTTGTTTGTTCATAAAGCCATGCGAGAGAAAACTGAAAAGTAAACATTTCAACCAGCAAACAGTAAGCTGTTCATAAAAATTTGCAAAAATATTTGAAGGAAAATAAACTCAGTGGCCTCCATTGGTATGACAATATGTTCATTTATTTGTCTTAGTTTGTAGCTGTTCCTCATAGCTCACAGTTATCCTTCATTTTTGCTCTCAGAAAATTGTTTTCATCAATAAACAAATAATGTACATGGACAAATATAGGTGTATATTTAGAACCAAATGGAGAATATTGTTGATTTATCTTGATTTGTATGTGCAATAAGCTGAAAAGTTATTCCAATTCCTACCTTTCCTTGCAGACCATTTACAAAGAATTGGTGGATATGGCTGTTTTTAACAGGCATCTCTTTGCTTGGTGCTTACAGGTGAACAAACATCTTGTTTTAGCCCTTTCTCTCTGTCTTAAAATTTAATTTCTTTTAATTCCTTTATTAATCAACCTCAAATTATTGCATTTTCAGGATAAGTTTTCCCTCTACAGACATATACCATGTATCATATGCATTTGTCCATTACAGCCCAATGTTTCTTTCAAGAAAGTTCTTTTTTTTTCAAGTATGCTCTCAGGGTTTTCTTTGGAATATATAAATTTCAGTATTTGGTGGACAACAACTATGCTTGGATGAAATTTCCTTTAACTTCAATTTAAGGCAAATAGTTATTTAGTGAAATGCTTCCTTGGATGAAGAGACCTTATATTGAACATCTCAGACAAGGGCTCTCTCTATTCCTTTGTGACTTATTGGGGTAGTACAGTCCAGCCTTGTGGAGACGCGGTGCCCTCGTAATTAGTGCGCTCGACTCCGGATTGAGTGGTCTGGGTTTGTGCCCTGGCCAGGACATTGTGTTGTGTTCTTAGGCAGGACACTTTACTCTCACAGTGCCTCTCTTCACCCAGGTGTATAAATGGGTACCAGCAAATTTAATGCTGGGGGGTAACCCTGCGATGGACTAGCATCCCATCCAGGGGGGAGTAGAAATACTCCTAGTCGCTTGATGCTACAGAAACGGGAGTTAAGCACCGGCCTTATGGGCCACTAGGCTCATAAACAGACTTTACCTACAGTCCAGCCTTGATTATCCGCACTCATTGGGACTAGATGAAATACTTCGGATAATTGAGGTCCAGATGATTGAATATGAATATTATGAGGAACAAAAATATGTTTAAATTAAGAAAGTGACAAATTGGTTCTTTTTTCTCCTTTCTCTAATTGCAAAATTATAGGCTGTTTATCTTTTATTGAAAGAAGAGATCACTTACGCTTCCAGGACACGATGATCATGAATAAACATTCCTGACCCTATGTAGCTTGTTTATCTTGCACACCATGCTAAACAAGCCAAAAGAGCATTAAATTTCCATTAGCAACAAAACAACTTTAAGCCAGTCAGTCCTCAATTGAGTGTCCTTCATTAGTTATGACACATGAGAGCTGCTTTTGCTTTTTGAAAGCTGTAATTTTAAAAAGAATGTGGCTATATTGAATATGAATCATGATCATGACTAATAAATATTCATGACAAAATTGGGACCAAAGAAAAAGTTTGGATAATCAGAAATCCAGATGATTGAGGTCCAGAAAATAGTCCTTTTTACAGTTGTGTGCTTGGTTGCCAAGCCTTTGAACGGGAGTGAGGCTAGGGGTGACCTGTTATGATACAAACCTCGCTGTCTTTCAAATGTAAATCACTTTGTTATCATGCTAACTAGATACAGGTCTCTATCACAACAAGGTCACCTTCAGCCTCACTCCAAATCAAAGGCTTGGCAACTAAGTACACAACTGTAAAATGGCCTTTTGAGGTTCAAATGTGAGAGAATGATTTCTTGACAGCTCATTCCAAAAATAATATCCTTCTATTATTTAGGTGGGTTGCAAAAAAAAAAAATACGTTTTCAGGTTAAGATGCTTGATTCATCACGACACAAGTAAACAGTCACTTGTTGCAAAGACTGTCTACTTTGAAAATAGTTGTTAATCAATCTACAGAAAACTGATGAAAGATAAGCTTTTTTGTCACAAGATTCCAATACACAGAGCTTACATTTCTGTTTTTATTTAGTATTAAGTACACCGGGGTCTTCACTTTCATTACTGTTGGATTTTTGACTGGACGAGACTTGTGGAAACTGATTGGAAACCACTCTCTACCAACAGTAAGTGAAGTCAGAACGTATCAGTTGTATATGTTTGTTAAAATTTTTCTGTGAACCTAACTCAGTTCTAGACTTTTGACAAATTATTGTGAACAACTTCAAATTGCTTTAGCACTAATATACCGGCATTGTTGGAAAGCTTTTATTTGTATTTTATCAACAATGGAGACACCTTAATTGTACTGAATCAAGATTAACAATTGTTTTATATAAAGTAGTTTATAGTAGATCAATGAAACTGGAAATAAACACAACTAAGTGTATAAGAAGTGGCTGAACCCATAGTTATTAAGAGTTTAAGTATTTTTTTTTTATTTATAATGTGTTCTTGTGTGATTATTCTTGCAGAGAGAACTTCACAAACATCTGTTAAGCCGTGCAGCTTGCCTTGTTGTCCTTCCTGCTATACTTTACGTGCTTCAGTTTTACATTCTCTTCACTGTTGCAAGAAAGACTGGTCCTCATGACGACATGATGTCAAGTGCATTCCAAGCCAGTCTTGAGGTTAACTTTATTTCTGCCAAATCAACAAACAAGCTAGTAGCTGGTGTTACAGTGGAGTCTTTGATTGTGCTATAATTTTACTGTTGTTGACAAGGCATGCAATCCAGTTCAAAAGTTCAAACAAAGAACAGATTGTCAATGCAATGCAGAATGTTGCATTTGTCTCACTTGAACAGTAGATGTTTGTCCAGGATTTAGAGCTCTGAAAAAATTTACTACGAAATCCTGTTCTTAAGTGGTGAAGTGTGTCTCAAAATTCTGCAGAGGATAGTCCACTTATCAGGTTTGATCACCTGACTAGAGCGGTTTCTTTGACTTTTTATTTCCTGAATATGTAGCTGAATTACATTTAATTTATTTTCCTTTTATCCTCAGGGAGGATTGGCCAAGATTACACATGGTCAACCAGATGGTATGTTTACCTTGCTTTTTTTTTCTAATGAAATTCTCACCAAAGTAAATTGCAACTCGTGAGGTTTGTTTAGTTTTACACGCCATGTCACCTTAGCTCGTTTACCGCTGACCACAACAATGGTATTGTAATAAATAGGTCAGTATGTTTGCATTGTATCTCGCAGAGGACGTATATCTCAATGCTGTTTGCGACAGTACTCATCACTTTTTGAAATACTTCAATTTTATTTTCAGAATATCAGAGGTAGCATATGGTTCCCAGGTCACTTTACGCAACACCTTTGGCAAACAGTGCTGGCTTCATTCTCACACGCACACCTACCCCGTAAAGTACCCTGACGGGCGTGGTAGCTCAGCACAACAACAGGTCACGTGCTACGGCTTCAAGGACGTAAATAACTGGTGGATTGTGAAGGACCCTCAAAGGTAACGCTAGACCCTAAGTGCGCCTTTTTAAAAGTAGCCCTTTGGTGGCCTAAAATCATAAAGAGGTTGCAGAAAATTAGATTCCATCGCCTGGTTAGCTCAGGCTTTCGTACGCCGGGCTGCCGTACAGGACCAACACTCAGGGTCATAAGGGATCTAAGGAGAATGTGCTGCCTTTGCCATGACATCGGCAAAGGATTAGACATTCTAGTCTTCTCGGTAAGGACGAAAACCCGTACGCCCCGTCTCCTGCATCTTTACTGTACTGGTTAGCAGGGGACGTTAAAGAAGCCATGGTCTTTTCGCAAAGACGCGGTGTCGTGGTCTAGCTTCGTTTCCAAAATTCCCAACCGGGGGTACCAGCAAAGTTCCCCTTCAAAAAGAAAATTGTAAATTACTCGATGCAGTCTAACCAAAGTCTCCTTCAAACAAACAAACAAACAAACAAACAAAAAAGAACGTTTCCTGCAATATCACAAACAGTACAACTTTCTACATGACCTCCGGACATTGGTCGCCAAATTAGCGGCTAAAACAGTCGAAACTTGGAAGTCTGGGAAAGGCGTAACTAGTGGCTGTCTTTGTTAATGGGCTCAAGAGTCTTCAGTGACTGACTTTTTGAATGTTGTGTCATATTACAGAGAAGCCCTCTCTGTGGATTTTCCACCAAGACCAGTTCGCAATGGTGATATCATTCAAATTGTGCATGGAGTTACAGGCAGAGCTTTAAATAGGTAAAATGTGACCATTGATTAACCCTCTGTGCCCCAACATTAGTATGGATAATCTCACTGTTCTCTATACAATTCCTATGGTATTGATGAGGAGAATTTGTTTAGCAATCAGGAGTGTAATGAATATGAGTATAATGTTGAAAATCATATAATATTATGTGTACTGCGATATTAAGAAATGTAAGTGAAAGCAATCCTCGCAGTAATGAACACAACGAATGTAGTAGTGAAAGTAAGGCCTGAAAACAATCAAGAGCTTCTCTAGTTGGTAATCATTTCCTCTATTCTCCTGACCTTAATGTGTGATTCAGGGGTGATATTGAAAGAAGAAATTACATGCTGGTCACTCTTAAAGGTGAAACGCAGGGAAGTGGCTTTCAAGTTGACAACTGTATTTCATTTTGCGGTGTGTCTATATAAGTGGTACACGCCGGCCGCAGACCGGTGTTCTTTGCGCAATTTTGCGTTTTTCTTGAGATCTTAAACTGACTAGACCATAGTTATTAACTATTAGCAGACGTACAGCTGAATAAGTCTATTTGTTTTATACAATTAAAAGGAAGATGAAATGAATGGAAATTTCGAAGTCACATCCTAGCGCTCAACTGTTCAGGCTTTAAGTATCAAAGATATTTCAAACATTTTCAGAGGTGGGCGCCACATTGGACAAAACAGAAGAGACAGTTACTGTTTGTCGTCAGCCGTGTATCTTTTCTCTGATAGTTCACAGGCGACAACCAATCACGGGGCGCGTGGTATTCAGTTCATTTTATTACAAGTAGCACCGATAGTACACTCCTTGTAACTCATGTGGAGCCCGAGCCCGCGAGCAGGCCCTTATCTTTAGCGCTGCAGGACATGCGTTTCTCCGCTTACGGGATGATTTGAGACGAGTCAGGGATAGGTTTCCAGGAGTCTGGCACTAATAGTGCTACACCCCAGACTCAAGGCCTCGTACTTTCCCCCGGTCGATGATACTTTCGTACCAAAGCGCTAATATTGAGGGTATGTCATAATGTCTTTTTCTTACTTCTAGTCACGATGTTGCCGCCCCTTTGAACCCAGCCAACCAAGAGGTGTCCTGTTATATTGACTACAACATTTCCATGCCTGCGCAAAACCTCTGGAAAGTGGTATATCTCTCTGTTTTTTTAAACATTTAACTAAAAATTCAACCTATTGCGTGTTGGATCCAAGCACCAGCTGTCAAGAATATTAGATTAAGTAAAAAGACGTTTATATTTTTCTCTCTCTTTCTTTAAATACCGAGGAAACTGAAAAGCAGTTATTGAAAGTCATTCAATCAGAACTGATATTGAAGTCCTGATTGTAATTCCTTCCATTATGGGTAGAGTTTAGCATCTAAGTAAAGTAAGTTTCGTCTTCACCTTGTTACGAAATCGGCATTTTACGGTGTGGAAACAGTTTAAGGTAAAGCATACTTAGTAGTAATGAACTTAATCAATCACTTAATAACTCACTCGTCTGTTTGTTTACGTATTTACTCTCCCAACAGGAAATAATAAATCCAGACAGCAGTGACGTTTGGAAGACGATCCACTCTCAAGTTCGATTAATCCATGTCAATACTTCTCAGGCAGTAAAGGTATGTACACCAAGAATTGAAGTTACTAGCCTTTCTGTCCATTAAAGCAATTTTCAATTAAAAGTCAAAAGTGATCCGGGATTGCATTGGTTTTGTTTTACCTTGCTCTGTGATTGGGAAAGAAAACTCGCACCACCTCCGCCAATCAGATGCAACACTAAAACCGGTCACGACTTGGTCATCCGTGTTTTCCCCAGCTTTGGACACTTTGGTTCTTTTTACTTAGAGTTCTCATTGGCTCTTAAAGATATTTTTCTTTCTTCTGATTGGCTCTGATTTTGTTTTTACGACGCTCAATCGTAAAGCGCCCTATTGTGTTTAAAACTGACTGCAGTGTACTGAAGGAGTACTAATTTCGTCCCCATTATTGTGATTTCAATGTTTAGATTTCAGGTATGGAGTTACCGGATTGGGGATTTCACCAACTTGAGGTGTGCACAGATAAATCCATAAAGCAGACAAACACGATCTGGAATGTCGAGGAACATCAACAAAATATTACTTATCGTAAGTTTGTTTTCATGACTTTCTCTTTTCCTACTTTTATTTGTCTCTCTATCTCTATTTTTCTTTAAACCTGCGTAATTGTTTACTTCTACCCTTCTCCTTCATCAATGGCATTTTCGTTGGCCTGTTAAAAACGTATTCAACTGCGCCAGGTCGTCCCATTCTGTGCGCGGGTATTCTTTATTAGCTATTCTTCCTCTCCTTACACCATTTTGTCTTCTTCAGCCGAAGGTCAAGGTCCAACAGAAGTCGAGATGAAAACAGACCATTCGGAAAAGGCATTTAAACCTATGCCTTTCCTTTCAAAATTTTGGGAGATCCAGGTAGGTAGAAATTTCTTGTTTCCTATGCTCCACACTGGGCGTGAACC